CTTAATGTAAACACAACTCTCGATGTCTTGGGTTATCAGAAAGGCAAACTTAGAACTACATTAAAGTTACATTCAAACTTCTGGTAGGACATAGGAACAAATGCCTCATCTTTGCATTATACATTCTTTTTTTTTTCCACATTAATGAGTCCCTTTATGCAAACAGATTACTAAAATCCTTGTCTGTCTAACCATACCATTATAATTGTCTCCATAGTACTATCTCAGTTTCTTTCTTCTAAAATACATTTCAGACCACATGAGTTGAAAAGCTACAGCTGAAATGATTGGAAGCAAACTAAATGTCTAAGGTCAGACTGGTTACATACATTCTTGTACATTACACAGAAATAATACAGAATAGAGAAGGAAGTTCTCTGTGCGTTGATATGAAAAGATATCCAAAGCAAGTTAGGTGAAAAAAAAAATCAAGGTATGCAATGTGCTATATTTTGTGATAAAAATGAAAAATAAGAATATATATCTAAACTATTAAAAAAAGAATGCAATCTTGCCTTTTGCAACAAACGGATGCATACGGAGGGTATAATGCTAAGTGAAGTAAGTCAGTCAGGGAAAAACAAATATCACATGATTTCACTCATGTGGAATTTAGGAAACAAAGAATTGAGAGACAAAAAAAGCATACTTTAGGGAACAAACTGATGATTACCAGAGGGGAGGTAGGTGAGAGGATGAGTGAAAGAGATGAAAGGGGCTAAGAGTACACGTAGGGTGATGAGCACTGAGTAATGTACAGAATTGTTAATCACTATATTGTACACCTGAAACTAATATAACACCATATGTTAATTATACCAAAATTTTTTTATTTTTTTATTTTTTTTTATTTTTTATTTATGATAGTCACACAGAGAGAGAGAGGCAGAGGGAGAAGCAGGCTCCATGCACTGGGAGCCCGACGTGGGATTCGATCCCGGGTCTCCAGGATCGCGTCCTGGGCCAAAGGCAGGCGCCAAACCACTGCGCCACCCAGGGATCCCCTATACCAGAATTTTTTTAAATGTACATGTATCTTTATTTGCTTACATATGCATAAAGAAATAGGATATTAAATAAACAAATACCAGAAGTTATCCAGAAAAAACTAGAGACATAAGATCAAGAATGGGAGAGAGTCTTCACTATAAATATTCTTACAAACTTTTTAAATTTCTGAACCCTATTGATGTATTTCTATTTTCAAATATTTAACTAAAAACAATTTGGAAAAATAGCTACAATTGTAATAATTAATACTTTATTTTATGTCAAGGAGTAATAATTTTTTCCCCTCCTTTCTTCCATTCTGATCTTAATTAGTCAAAAATTCTAGTTCTCGGGAAACAAATTAATTACCTAGCACATGTAAGCTAAACATATAATTATGCTTCAAAGAAGACTTTATTCTTTCCTCCTCACCCATCTAAATTGACAATTAAGGATAGCAAGGGTCATCCAGCTAGTGAAACAAATACATTACCCTTGACTTCTGATGGATAATATCATCAGCATAAATGTTAATTTCCATTTTCCACTTAAATTTTTATTTTTATTTTATTTTTTTAAAGGAAACTCAGGGGCACTTTCCCAAGCCTCCTGGGCCACAGGCAGTGTGGGGTGTGTGGTCTCCAGCTAGACTTGCCTGGTTTTGCCCATTTCTTCATTTTAAGATTTTATTTATTCATGAGAGACACAGAAAGAGAGAGGCAGAGACATAGACAAAAGGAGAAGCAAACTCCCTTCGGGGAGCCTGATGCAGGAGTCAATCCCAGATCCCAGGATCATGCCCTGAGCTGAAAGGCAGACACTCAACTGCTGAGCTACCCAAATGTCCCTCCACTTAAAAATTTTAAATTGCTACATTGTCCAGCAGGCCTACTGACTGGCATTACAATTTTACAAATATTACAGCATTATAATTTCCAAATGTGTGAATTATTTTTTTAAGCCTTTATTTATTTGACAGAGAGAGAGAGAGAGCGTGCGCACAGGCAGGGGGAGTGGCAGGCAGAGGGAGAAAGAGAAACAAGCTCTCCACAGAGCAGGGAGCCCGATGCGGAACTCAATCCCAGGATCCTGGGATTATAACCGGAACCGTAGGCAGACACTTAACCTACTGAATCACCCAGATGGCTGAGTTATTTTTCAAAATAACAACCAAAAAATTACAAACATTTTTCTGATTTAGCAAACAAACTGAATGGGCCCTCACTGTCCCCAAGAAAAGAACCTCAGTAATCTCTGCACAGACCTGGCCCCTCACCAGAGACACTGTGTTCTTCCCACAGAGAACTTCTGAGGTCAACTCAGAAACCCATCTCTAGGGTTTTTCCACAGGGCACATTTGTGCCTAATTTGGCCCCTTCCACTCTCCAAACCCTTATCGATGTTTAAAAGCTCAGCTTAGAGGTGCCTGGGTGGCTCAGTCCGTTATGCATCTGCCTTTGGCTCTGGTCACAATCTCAGGGTCCTGGGATCCAACCCTGTGTTGGGTTCCCTGCTTAGTGGAGTACCTGCTTCTCCCTCTGTCCCTGCTCATGCTCACTCTCTCAAATAAGTAAAATCTTTAAAATAGAAAATAATAAGTAAAAGCTCAGCTTAAATGGTCTGATACTTTCCCAAATCTCTGTCAGAATTAATCTTATTGCGAGGCCTGGGTGGCTCAGCAGTTGAGTGTCTGCCTTCGATTCAGTGTGATCCCAAGGTCTGGGATCAAGTCCTGTATCAGGCTCCTTGCCGGAGCCTGCTTCTCCCTCTGCCTATGTATGTGTCTCTCATGAATCAATAAATAAAATCTTTTTTAAAAAAATCTTATCTTCTATTTTTATACAACCTAACTATTTTACAGTTAATTATGTGTCTAGACATCTCCACGTCCCAACGAGAAGGTGGAATCATTAGAAGAAATAGTTCCTATTCATATTTATATCCTTATGGAAATCTTTATTTCTTATTAATAACAGTAACAGTACTAACAACAAGGAGAAAATCAAAAGCCAGGTATTGTGCCAGGCATAATGACAAACGCATTACTTCATTTAATTCCCATGATAGCCCTGAAGCCATTTTACAGAAAAGGAAACTGAGGCTCAGAGAGGAGAAGTAACTTGCTCAAGTTGCTTATACCCAGTACAGGTAGTAAAAAGCAGAATGAGCCTTCAAGCCCAGTGTCTCTGCCTCCAAGGCATTTATTCTTAACCATTATGCTTAGAACTTAGTAGACTGATTAATATTATCATCATTACTACAATGGACTGAGTGTTGGTATCCCCTCCAAAAGCACATGTTGAAATTTGAACCCCTAAGGTGATGGCATTAGGAGGTGAGACTTTTGGGAGGTGATTAGGTCATGAGGGTGAGGCCCTCATGAATGGGATTAGTGCCCTTTTAAAGGCACCCAAGAGAGCTTTCTTGCCTTCATTCTACCATGTGAGGATACAAGTTAGCAGTCTGCGTCCCTGAAGAGACCCCCTCACTAGAACTGACCTCCCTGATCTGGTCTCCAGAACTGAAAAATACATTTCTGTTGTTTATAAGCCACCCAGTCTATGGTACTTTGTTACAGTGCCTCAAACTGACTAAAATAATTACCCTTTTCCAAAACTTAGAATTGCATTTTACAAAGGGCTTTCATATCACAGAAGCCATTAGAAGGAAAAAACAAGCTTTGTCTCCATGTTAAAACACTCCTATACATAATCTGTCATTTTTATCTGCCCTTCAACAACTGATTTGTTCATACCTTAGACTGCTGGAGGGTACTTTCATCTCACTACTTTCCTCTGACTTCACTATCAAGATGATCAAGCATAGTAGGCAGTATTTGCCCCATTCCTCCTCCCCACCTTGACACCCACCCTGTGCCTGAGTAACACCCCCTTCCACGGCCTGAGAAACAGAAACGGGAACCCCTTGGATCTGAAGGAATTTAGTCTCGATTTATTCATTCAAATATTTACTAAAAGCACTTTATGTGTCAGGCACCAGGACCTGCCTCTATGAGTTTACAGGAGGGTAGGGAAAGCAGACAAAGAGGCCTCCTCAATCTTTGCTCTTCCTTTCTTTCATTATTGTCAGTGATTATGAGATCAGCAACAACAAAAAGAAATACATATGCTGGGACGCTTGGCTGGCTCAGTCAGGTAAGTTTCTGCCTTCAGCTCAAGTCATGATCTCAGAGTCCTGAGACAGAGCCCCACATTGGGCTCCCTGCTCAGCGGGAGCCTGCTACTCCCTTTCCCTCTGCCCCTCCCCACTCTTGTGCTCTCTCTCACTCACTCTCTCTCTTAATAAATAAATAAAATCTTTAAAAAAAATACATATGCTTGTAGATCTGGACACACAAATAAGCAAAAAGGTAAAACTGTCAGAATCATTCATAATTCCACCAGAAATGACAAATGTAGCAGTTTGGCTATATGTTCCCTTCCATTTTTTCCAAGTTTACCTGAAATTTTTAAAAGATCTTCAGCTGATACTTAAATATTTTCCAAAACTGTAATGGGAGACAGCCTCACTCATGATATAAGCTAGATTACTGTGGTAAACAGGTAATTTCGGGTCCCCACTGAACATGTGGCTTCTGGGAAGGTACTTTGAGGGTCTTACTCTCCATCCCCAGGCCCTGACATTCAGTTGGAGCTCACTCATGCTCATGAAACAAAAGACTAAATGGATGAATCAATGATGTAGAGTACTGAAATGTAACAAATCAAATCTTGACATAGTTAAGTTCATAAATCAGGCACTCTGCGCTGAATGGTCCAGATACAGAAAGGATTAAAGGAGAAAATCCCTAAAAGGAAAAAATATATTTTATTCTTACTAGATAGGGGGAAAAAGAACTCTACAAAAATAAAATAATAAAAACTACCATTTCATTTCATTCTGTATAACATCATGGTTACAGTCTTAAAACAATTAAAAACACAATAATCCAGTTTTACGGTGGCAGCTGTGTAGCCCCGTGCTATCTGCCCGAGTCTCACAAGTTATACCTGAACGGAAGATAGGGGGGGTTTGAGCCAGATAGGAGTGCTCTGTAGGCTTCTTCTGGTGTCTTCTTTAAATAGATTACCTAAGACAGATAAATAGCAACATTTAGAACACCACCAAAGAATGACACAAAACTAATTTAATTACCCACTAAATTTGCATTTCCCTTTTTCCACTCTGACAACTGTCAGTATCGGTGATAATGCTAACCTTTAAGAGACAGCAACCGAGCTGCCAAAATTTCCTTTTCAGCTTGAAGCTGGGCTGCAGCCTTTGGCTTAGAAATGGGTAAGAGCTTAGAGACAGAGGGCAGATCCACAAAGAGGCCATCCAAGGCTGTTTACAAGGCACACTGAACAGATACAATGGCAGAATTTTCCCTTTGGAGAGAACAATTCTACTTCCATTATTATACCGTCCACTTGCAATACAATAAAGCACAATAAAATCACAATGAAATGGGTGAAAATGAATGCAGGTAAGAGCACTAGAGGGGCACCTGAATGGCTCATAAGCATTTGACTCTTGGTTTCAGCTGGGGTCGTCGTCTTGGGGTCATGAGATCGAGCCCCACATCAAGGCTCCATTCTCAATGTGGAGTCTGCTTGGGTTTCTCCTCTCTCTCTCTTTCTCAAATAAATAAATAAAAATATTCAAAAATAATTTTTTTTTAAAAAAAAAGGGCACTAGAAAACACACTGGCTTGACTGTTGATATCAAGGATACTTAAATGCCTCTGGCCCAGCAATGATAAACTAATCTTAAAGAAACATAAAGGCAAAAAAAAAAACAAAAAAAAAAACATAAAGGAGCTCTTAAAATCAGCAAACACTTTAATCAACATATTGACTATATCATATGTGCCAGGCACTGTATCAGATACTGATACCTCTCTTAAGAGAATATACATTCTTATGGGGTAAAGACAATAGTTAACAAAAATAAACACAGTCTGAGGTGCTAAAAAGAAAGTAAACAAATTCTAGAAAGAGAACAAAAAGAGGCTGCTTGAGGAAAGGCACAGAGAGGGCTCCCTGGGAGACATGTAGGGTAAAATCTGCAGGGTACAAGCCACGGGAAAACTAGGGAAAGGAGAAAGGGCTTCCCAGGCAGTAGGAATAACACAGGCACCATACTTGCCAAAGGAAAGAGCTTGGTGATTGGACAGAGAGATCACTGGTGTGGCTGGAACATGGGAAGGAGAACCAAGCAGTGGTTCAGAGCAATACAAACCACAGGCAGATTCTAATTTTATTATTCTAAGTATAATTTAATATCTTAATTTTGAGCTGAGGATATTGGTCCTTTCCCTCTATAGTTTGAATCAAATCTTATTCCTAAAAATCCTCTCTACCTAGAATTAATGGCATTATTTCAAAATCCTGTGCATTTCAGCAAGAGTGGCAGAGTCTCAGTTCCTAAAAAGCAGGGCTTTCCTCTTTACTTACAAATTTCCTTTGAGTTTTAAGCTATCCCACTGGCAATACATTACATGTATTTAATTATTAATATTTTCAGCATTAGGGATCCCTGGGTGGCGCAGCGGTTTGGCGCCTGCCTTTGGCCCAGGGCGCGATCCTGGAGACCCGGGATCGAATCCCACGTCGGGCTCCCGGTGCATGGAGCCTGCTTCTCCCTCTGCCTGTGTCTGCCTCTCTCTCTCTCTCTCTCTCTCTGTGACTATCATAAATAAAAATATATATATATAAAAATATTTTCAGCATTAGAAAACACCTTAATTCTGTCTTCTCTAAAGAAAGAAAACTCAAATAAATAAATAAAAGATACTTCCAGCTTTTAAAAGAAAGCTCTATACTCATTTGACAAGTAAACCTGAAGGTCTGTAGGGCACACACCAACCAAACCAAGTTGAACATGAAACAAAAACAACACAGAAAATGAAACCACCATAAAAGAATGTTCTAGACATGAGTCACTGATTCTAAAGGGAGAATCACAACTCCAGTTGCAGCTCAAATAATTATAAAAATCCACTTAAACCAACCCTAGCTTTAAAGGCCATTTTCAGTAACCAATATTAAAAAACAGGATTTTGCTGTTGCCTAATGGGTAGGTTATACCCTATAAACAGAGTCGATTATTATGCAGTGATTTCACAAGCCTAAAGATGCAGCAGTCCTGGAAAGTTGACTACCTCTGCTAAAAGGGAAAGCTGCTGCAAAAGGCTTCTGTGTTCTGATTACATAATTAAAGCTCATACAACAACCTCTGAAAAGCAAAAATGTATTTCCCTCCTCAGGAACAATTACGTTAATTCCCTTTAATTTTGAGGCAGCCATTCTGCAGGCAAGGCATCAGCGCACATGAAATACTTCTTTAGACTGGATACCCCCACAGGGTTTGCTACTCATCTCACCTGCATGACTTAGCACACATGACCCATGTTCTCACACTGTAAGATGAGAGTCTGTTTTTATTTTTATCCCAGTGCTAAATTATTAATAAGCGTAAAGTGAAACCCAGCAGAGGCCATCTAAATTCCAGGAAGAGTCTAGGGGCAGGTAAATACAATGACCTTTTACAACCTAATGATAGGTAAAATGTAACAAATGAGTCCTTTACTGAATGCATGCATGCTAGGGTCATTAAAATACCCAATTTATTTTTTAAAAGACTATGTCATGGATTCTTAATGCCAGATCTTCTGAGATAGGTCTCCTATTAAAAGAGAAAAACAGAGAGACAAACGAGGCCTGATTAAAGCCTGGAATAAAGGCAACATTAATTAAGGCTTCTGCTGAAAAAATCTGACGCACACAAAGGCAAGGAACTTTCCAAACTCTCACTGCTGCTCTGCGACAGAGTTAGAACACAGATACAACTCCAAAGCCCACAGTAATTCCATACACTTCATCTACTTGAAAATATAAACACAAGCAATAGCACCACAAATTGGGGAAAAAAGATTCCTACTCTTCCAAATTCCTAAATGCCATAACACTTGACTTCTTAAAGCTGGGTGACTTCAAACTGGTAAACAGTAGTTGTGCCTGAGGAACAGAGCAGGGAGCTGGACTAGAAGGAGAAAGGAATACTTTCTACTTGACATTTTCTGCTATCTCCACATCTTATATTTTGTACAGACATGGATTGATTCATTTTGCAAATGCAGAGTAACTAAATCAGTTAAATAATAAAACATCTACTCTTTTTAAAATAAAACCAGGGGCGCCTGCGTGGCTCAGCTGGTTAAGCATCTGCCTTTGGCTCAGGTCATGATCCCAGGGTCCTGGGATCAAGTCTGGCATCGGGTTCCCTCAGCAGGGAGCCTGCTTCTCCTTCTCCCTCTGCTGCTCCCCCAATGCTCATGCTCTCTGGCTCATGTGGTCTCTCTCTCAAATGAGTAAATTTAAAGACCCTTAAAAATAAAATAAAAATAAAACCAAATTTAATACCAAGAACTGGTTGCAAGATATTCTAATATTTCTTAAAATATTTTCTGAATAAAATTAATCTCAAAGCATCTTCTAAATGTTTTTATTTTCCTTTTCTGCTTCCCAGGGATAAATATAATAGGCTATCTATTCTCCTCAAAAGATATTAGCATATATAAACACAAACTGACAGGATCTTCCCAAACTTTTGATTGATAAAACTTAACAAAAGCCCTCTGCATAGTGCTTGGCACACCATGCTAAGTTACCCTTGGAAGAGCGAGGACATGCATTACTTTTATCAAAGTGGACTGCTCTTGCCACAAAGTCCTAGAAGCCTCTCAATAGAATAGCACTGGACATACGCTTTCTTATTTTTGACTTACTAAAAGTCAACCAATTAAAGTGATTATGTTTTTGCTTAATAACTTTGATACCAGGTGTCAAGGGCCCAAATAACTCTCTCGATTTCTTTACTAAGAGATTCTTAAAGAGCAGGATCCTTAAATAAATAAATAAATAAATAACCAGCTGTGAGGTTTTTATTTAACACCATCACTAAAATTATGGTATTGTAAGACAGCATAATTTATATGGTTTACCAATAAGCCAATGTTTCCCACACTTTAATCATGCAACAACTTCCCCAATTTCTGCCACCACACATAGCACCACATATTACTATCTCTCTAAACAGACACACTTTTTAAAATCCATTTACTTGAAAGTGTTTTATATCATTGTTATTAATGAAAAAACAGTATCATTGGCCATAGAGAGTCTAGACGTAAATGAATATTAAAATACATAACTTAAAATTTGTAAAGGTTTGTGCACACCACACATTGAGAAACAATGCTTCAAAATACCAAGTTTAGGGGATCCCTGGGTGGCTCAGAAGTTTAGCACCTGCCTTCAGCCCAGGGCATGATCCTGGAGTCCTGGAATCAAGTCCCACATCAGGCTCCCTGCATGGAGCCTGCCTCTCCCTCTGCCTGTGTCTCTGCCCCTCTCTCTCTCTCTTTCTCTCTCTCTCTCTGTGTGTGTGTGTCTCTCATGAGTAAATAAATAAAATCCTTAAAAAAAAATACCAAGTTTGGGCTAATTTTATAGAAGAAGAGCAAACCAACCTGGGATATTAAATAAAATCCTCTTTAAATTAATCCAAAAATACTTCTAACTCATTTCTCTTTATTAAATCCTATGATCATTAAATCTTTAAAGCTTGTTAAAAAATAATATACCTGAATTTCAGAGGCATTTTGGAATTTACAATGATATTTCTCTACTCGGATCATTTCATCTCTCTGATACGTAAAGTGATTCTTCAAACAACAAATGGCTTAATATAGAAGAGCTAAACCAGAATTCGAATCACAAATTGGCTGGTGGTCTTTCTCTAGGGACACTTACCTCGGCTCTTACTATGTTTTTAGCTTTAAGTGCTATTATTTACCTCAAAAAGACTTACTATAAACTGCAACACACACATATATCCCTTATATATTTTTAAATGATAGGATTTAATAAAGAGAAATGAGTTAGAAGTATTTTGGGATTAAAGAGGATTTTCTTTAATATCCCAGGTTGGTCTGCTGTTCTATAAATTATACTTATATTCTGTGATCTGTAAAGTAGAAATACTCTTGAGGATTTGATTTGGCCATCTGAGAGGGTATTCTTTAAT